AACAGGATCGTCAACTATTCTCATGCCACGTCCTTGAACCGCGTCAAAGGGCCCAAGCTGGCATCCGGGAGCTCTCGCTCAAAGATGGCAGCAGTATTCCATGTGGGAACGAACTTGTGACTTATAAAGTAGCAGTGTCTGCTCCGAAGTGAAATACCCCTTAGCCCTGTTGACCACACCGAGCTTTTTGGATGTCAGTTTGATTTACCATCTAAGAGACTACGGAACAGAACAACACAAGAGATGTCGACACCAAGGAACCCGATGCTCTCCGAGATATTTTTTAGCTTATTCTGGAACTGAAGGTCTGCAGCTAATGGAGTTGGGAGAGCGATAGCCTCGGTTTTGGCGAAAAAGTCGCTGGTAAAAGTCCAGCCGGATCGGAAGAATTTTTCCATGTGTTTGTACGATCTTTGAATCAGTAATAGCAATAAACTAATGGAGTATTTTTACTAAAAATATATGAGACTCATGTCAGTAAAAACATTATGATATTTAATCTTCTTTTCTTCTACTTTAAATAGTCACCCAGAAATCGGAATGGCACTACAAATAATACATATAGAGTGTATAATAGCTCACTCAGAAACCCCGAAGTGATTCAAAATAATAGGCAAAATAAAATGGTTCTATTTTTACTTTCAATAAGAAGCTTTCTTCTAAATAAACTATCGCAATAAAGTATAACTATATTAAGTATAGAACTAAATATTCAACAAAAACAGATTCATCTTTTACATTTTTTAGAGAGGTTTTTTCAGATTTATCTTTTTTTACACTCTTCATATTCAAATCCACCCACTACATGCATACAAGGTTTTGATGTATAAGTACATAGTTAAAAAGAATTGTTACTAGAGTGTCGTGAGGAAATTTTTGCCAGCATCAACAGAGCGTATGACAGACCTGGTGGTTTAGAGTTTATGGTTTCAATTTCATGTTTCCAATTTAAGTACGAATAGTACAAAATTTTAAATGTATGATAGTTTCGGTATTTACTATTTTGTAACAAATATTTATGCTAGTGGATTGAGCGTAGAACTAAATGGCTAGTTTTCATTAACAAATAGATCAATGGTATGAAGCCATTTGGTAAGGTTTTTAGAGTCAGATTGATTTCTTTTTGATATTGCAGCACAGGTACGCCTTAATTCCCTACTAAAATTGACACATCATCAGCAAATTATACACATGTTTGTCGTGTCAGTAATGCTCTACATAAATGAACTAACTCATATATGTAGAGCACAAATAACAGAGGACTCAATATAGTACTCTGTGGGACACCTCTTTTTACAACTTTTCAAGTGGATTGGACTGTTGTTATAGTATATTATAACTGTCAAAATAACTGATGTCAGTAACCTGAGTCGAATGTGATTCAAACCTTTGCATTCGCGTTCCACACATCCCTAGTTGTTGGGGTATTTGTGAAACTATTTTGTGATTTGTGCAATCAAATGCCTTGGACTAAAGCTGAGATGAAATCTAGAGTTAAGAGCTGATCCGACCCTATGTTTATAGGTTCTTTAAAGTTTGGGTAAACGTATTCTGTCTAATCCTATCTTTGGTCATCACACATCAGTAACAATTTGGTTGTAATAAGTGTTAGTTAGTTCGATGGGTGTGAAAGTAAGTGAAAACGTTAAATATTATTACAATAAATGAATAAATAAGTAAATAGAAACACGAACGAAAATACATCAAAATGTAATTGCCACAAGGGTGGCAACACATTGAACAATGCAAAATCTTTTGGTCACAGCCATTCAAAGGCACGATTATGTTCAAAGGTAACGCGTAAAGTAAACAATGAAATCGTTTCTTTCGTAAAATGTTGAGGAAAGTAATAATTACTTTTATATAAAAAAAGTCGGTGAAGAGCGTATCCGGACACGCCAATGAACATACACTTTTCGTCGTGGTTGCTCATGCCCTCCACACTCGTAACCATACATTGTCGACCTAAGGAAGTTAGCCAGATCACAACATATCCACTCTGCAAACCAAATTGCCGTCCTTGTCGGTAGGGACGAAGAGCTCCCAGTTCTCGCCCAGAAACTGCACAGTCTAAAGGTCAATAACCATAGCACCCCCCTCTACCGGAAGCGTCCAGTAGCCTCCTGAGTGGAGGTCCGTGCCCGTCTGGGACCTCTATAAATTCTATTATACTGGTTATGGTCTTCACCTCGCGCTTGTTTCCGGTGGCGGAGTTAAGCCACCACGGCTAGATTCTTCATAAAAATACATTAAATTTTAACAAACAGGCAGACGCATGCGTCGGATCATAGGATAATAGTATCGTGTTTGACTATAGAATCCTAAAAGTGTTGCCATCAGATTTTTTCTAATTCCTTTTATAAGGCACAATATATGGAATTAATATAGTAGTTATGTGTATAAAAAAAAGTTATTTTCTACCAAGAGGTAAGGTAAGTTAGGAAACTAAATTAAATTGTTACTTTTCGTGTTCTCCAACGCAACTAAGAGTCCAAACGTTACAAAGGTGTCTTCACTATCACAATAAACGTCTACAACTTCAAAAAAAAATCCATCTCATACGCAGAGGACACATAGTCAAATATAATCATCATCAACATCCATAGCCTGATTTCACCCACTGCTGGGTACAGGTATATTAAATATAATAATTCTACCAAAATAAAAATATTTATCCACATCATACAAATATTTTGATCCAACGCAAGAATTCCGCATATAATAATAGTATATATAATAAATATAGTAAGTAAAATTTCACAACTTGCAGAAACCACAAATTTGTTGAGAATGCTAACAATGCTAATTGAAATATCACATCATCACAAAGCAGCGATATTATCCTAAGGTGCGGATTTTCGCATGGGCGTGTATACGGGATTAAGGGCAGTTTGACACAAGACGGTATCGTATTACCGATGTTGTCAAGGGATGAAATAGAATTTGTAGGTAAAAAGACAAGTAGGTAAGGTCATCCGGTATAACAGTTGTATTATTACTTAACGAATGCCGGATATCCTAGTTTCCTATTCTAAATAGAAAGAATAGAATATGTTTGTGTAGCAGTTGATGTAAATGAGTATTGCTTCTTACTAGAGAGGTCATTATTTCTAAGGCCATAAACTGGACGACAGCAAGCGGTCGCGCGGTGGCGATAGTGATGCGGGGCCGGCCCTCTCCCTGGAGGGGCTGTGCTCACCAAAAAACAGGTTGATGGTGATGGGTGAAGACTTTGCAGACAAAGTAGTATTAGTTCTCGCCGTAATACGGATATGTATTTTAAAATACAGCTTTATTACGAACGTTGATTCGCCAAGCATATGATAATTATTTAATATCCTTTTAATTTGAATACAATTTGAATTTGAATGATGTGGATCATAAGGAATGGCACATTATAATGTTGTGTTTTTAATAAAAAAAATCTTTATAATGATTAATATAATAATGTGTCCAACAATCATACTGATTACCTGGACACAAAGTGGAGAATTCCCTGCACTACGAGAACCGGAATACCTAGTTCAGAACCACTTAGAAAAGCTCGTTTTCTAAATATACCCTACCGGAAATGTAACAAAGGACCTCATACTGGTAACCGCTGGGCCACCGATGTCGTATATTGGGCAAATTGTCCTGCAGTAAATTAGTCTGTGCTGTGTGGAGTAGGCGTTTTCTTTTTTCTTCTAGTTCTAGTATCTTTTAGTTGCTTACTGTCCTTTGTAGTGTGAAGTCTGTTTATTTTTTGTGATATTCCGTGAACACTATGAACACTATTACAGCGATAAAAAATATTACGAAATATAAAAATTCTCTGTGTCGGTGTATCCGTTGCCGGTTTGAGTGCTTGAATTCAATAAACCGAACCATTCTATAGAGTCCAGGGTCTAGAACGTTGATCGTCAGTACTCTTAACACTGTCGCTCAGGGGCCGACAACAAATGGCAAGGAGTAAGTAGTCGCTACTGGGTTACGATCGCTTCGCTTCGGTAGGAAAAATAGAACTTGTTATAGCAAGTCTTATTAGTCTATATACAAGCTCAAACTTGTCTCTATTTCTCAGGTAAGCAAGTTATACTGAAATCTGCGCATTGATTAAACTGTATTGCTCAATCGTAAGGCAGATTCCTCTGAAAGGAATGAGCAAGAAACTCTAGAAATTGCTCTTTGTGAATAAATATTTTGTTCACATTTATCATTTACAATATTTATTTCTCAATATGATAGATCGCAACAACCTGTACATAAGAGCTAAAGGAGTCAACTACCGTAGATTTTTCTTCCAAGTGTACGCATGTTGGCGCGATTTTGCTATGTGGGTAGCCCAAAGACGGCCAACATGCAGAGGAAAGCAATGGTTCGATTTGTAGACTGTATATGGTTGATTGGAACAAAAGTGCGAATAAGTGAATTGGGAGCACAATACCTTTAACGGTATTAGCATCGTGGCAGCCGGAGTTTTGAGAGATCTCGGCTCCTTGCGTCGCCCAGGAAGCAATTCTCGATGTTGCAGGTTCACTAAAGCGTACGTTCACTACTGCTCACTATAGTTTTTAGTTTATTATAGTTTTACTAAGATTTTTTATTCATTTAGCGGAGGCGCTTACGCGCGGCCATTTGCATTCGTCGGCGAGATTTCAACTCGAACGGAAGCAAGTTTTATCTCCTCTGTCGGTTAGGTGTCACTAGTTGGGTGACGTTGGCTCGCTCTTGCGTTCGAGTAAAGGTATGTGCGGGAAAGGAATGGAACAAGGAAACAATTATTGATCCAATCGAACCATTTCTAATACGATTCAAATATTAAATCGTCCAAATTTTCATCAAAATTTCTATTTCGGCGCAACCAACGCAGAAGCTGTATAAAATAACCTTTGGTATAAAACTTTTGTTTCACTATATGTAGTTACATACCTCGTAAATTTTAAAAACATTAATCGGAATCTTATTGCAGAAGCGTATATAGCCCCTTAAATACGTAATAGTGTAATGGCTTTTAATACTGATGAGTAGAGTATACATGTGTTGTTATTGTTGTAGGCTGTATACATTTGAATTGACCTTCATCGTGTAATAACTTGTTTTGAAGTTAAAAATTTCTTCAAATAGCATATTGTTTCCAAAGCTTGTTTTAGACCTGAAATTTCTCATAAACGATCTACATCAGGTATTTAAGGCATGTGTGCAATACGACAGAAAATTTGTAATGATAAATAATAAATTACTTAAATAATAAAGTACATTATTGCAGAGACCGGTAAGTAAGGGATTGCTGGACGAGTATGACTTAATACCAAGAGCCAAGTAATCCCCGTTTTCGCCGAGACATATATAGTGCTTTTCTGAAACAATGTTAGGCAAAAATAAAATATTAAAGAGAGGAAGATGAAAAAACATTAATTAATATTAAAAGTGAAATATTTGACACGTTAGGACAATTGCTAAAAGAATATGTTATTTTAACGCGTTTTTCCTTCTGTTTTAAAGTAGGCGGTACAGGTAGCTATTTTTATTCTCGCAATTACGAACACTGGGCAGTTGGCTGTACGAATTTTTCTTTTGCCTCTTTACATAGTTCATTGTTAGTAGACAGATTTAAAAGCTTAGAGCAATGGACAGTAATGGATGTTCATACTTACTTTGCAGGCCTTGGCCGAGAAGAAGACGCACGGTCCATAAATGACAAACTTTCCGTATTCGTTTTTAAAACGTAATGCAAACATTTTCCAGCACGTTTGAGAAAATATGAGCAGAAGTCATACTCAACCCTTCTTTATAGCATTGCTACCGTTACGTCACAGATCATTAATATTTTTCAATTCTATTGTTTAGAAAATCCTTTTCAATTGTAACGACAATCGATCGACCGTCTTTTGTTCATTCTCGAAAATTGTATAATTGCAACACGGAAGAAAGAAATTATGTAGTCCGTGAATTGCAATAATGAAGAAAAGCCTCTACTGCGTTATATAGAGTCATGTTATTTTTACGCCACAGTGACGATGTCGTGCCGGATCTCCGCTCCGCCGAGCAATATTTCGTTCCTTGTTTGGCGAAAAACCCAATATTGTTATAATATTATCAAGGTTTATCACGATGTCCTCCTTTAGCTGTAAGGTTTGCTACTAAACATTCATAAGTGTAAGTAACTTACAAATTGAAATTGTTTTTTTCTATAAGTAATAAATATACGCTTGGCCACAATCTTATCTGGTGATAAGCAACGATGGTACACGTTTGCCTAAAAAAATATCTACTCACTCTGTAGCCGCCAGACCCAAGTAGAAGATGATGAGGATCTCGACCAGCCCGTAAAATTAAAAGCCGATTTTAGTTGACTGTAATATGTTGGCAATAGGTAACTGGTTTACAGGGGACATTAATCGCTAAACAGTGGTGGTTTCTTGTAGAAGTACATTTCAAAAGTGAACGTCCTTTTTGACCCTTTTGAGTTCATACAAAAAGTTTCTTAAATTGTGGTAGGAATAAAATAACACGTATATTATATAAGTTCTATTAAATTTTATTACAAAAATTCTGCGTTTGCAACAACTCTAGCCTTGAATAATCCCAAATTGTACTTTTCGGGAAACACAGTTGCCGTAGAATAGAATATTCCATTCCTTTGCCGTACGCATCGATACGCATAGATTGGTTTACTTCAGCTACTTTCACAGTCTAATGACATACGGCATTTTGCTTTGGGGTAATGCCGCCGATATCAATAGAATCTTTGTCCTACAGAAACGTGTAGTTAGGGCAATTTACAATCTGGGCCCCAAAGTATCTTTGAGAGATA